CCCGGGCTTCCTGGAATCAGCTGCTGATCAGTTTCAGCAGCAGCTGACTTGGGGACGCTTGGGGTTCTTAAGTTGATTCTGTATGTAAGTCAGAACTGGCGGTCAGTTTAAGCAGCGGCTGAATCTGGACGCCAGTTCCGACTTACATACAGATTAAACTTAAGAACAAACCTACAGTCCCTATCTTGTACGTAACCCAGGGACTGCCTGTATTAGATACTTATAAATTGCTTGGAAATACACAGAGTATAAAACGAGATATATAAAACCAGTACCTAAATATAACAGCAACAGATTTTACATAGTGCTTTTCATCTTGACAGTTCTTCACATACACTGATCCAGTGCTTTTTTTGTGACGGTACTTTTTCACACACACACACACACACACACACACACACACACACACACACACACACAAAATTGATCCCTCCAAAACCTTCAAGATAATTGAGGCAAAACTAGGAAGTGATTTGCCAGAGTTCAGAGATGGTGTCAGAGGACAGGGAAATTGAGGCAAAACTAGGAAGTGATTTGCCAGAGTTCAGAGATGGTGTCAGAGCTCAAGTTTTTCCTCAACCTGAGTATCCCTTTTTTTGTACTTCTAAGAACTATAGAAAATTTCCATAATAGATTATACACACACTCTGGAGCATGGAGTTAATTAGGCCGAGCTGTGAGTCTGCAAGCATTAAGTTTCAGTCCAACATGACTGGAATCTTGCTTGTTTCCAATATTCTCCAGCCCAGAAGACAGACTTTAAAATTTAAACACAGACAATTATTAAGATTGTACCTGGCAGAGCTATGTTCAGATCCAGCACAACATAGGTTGCAGATTTCCAGAGGGTAGTAAATTCCCCTAGAGAAGGCTCCAGAAGCAAAAGCTTCCTGCAACCCTTGCTCTGTTGAAGACCTCACAGCCTGGTAACATCCTAAATTGGGCAAGGTCAGCCTGAATAGGAGACGTGCTGAATCAATGTCTCTCCATGGTTGCTTTCACACGTAGAGCTCCTATGTATGCCCAGCCAGGTTTAAAGCCGTCCTATCTTGTGAAGAGACAAGGTGGGTGAGACACTATTTCAACCCCTGAAGTTTGTCCAATAAAACATGTTACCTCACCCACCTTGTCTCACTGAGCTTTTCTTCAGGTCTGGGGAAAGTATTTGGTGTCACAAGCAAACACAAGATCAAACTGATTATTTAGCACAGTTACCCTCAGTAGGGATTTGAACAACTAGTTGACTAGTCACTCCCCTCCCCCCTCTTGCTGCCTCTATCAGAAAGAGGCAACCGGAGAGGGAGAGGGAGGGGACAGAAAAGGGGCAGTGCCGCATGGAGCTTGGCATCAACTGGGCTCCATGCAGCGCTGACACTTTGAAATGCCACGGGGAGCATGGAGCCAGCGGGGGACTGCTTAAGTCCCCCGCTAACCCCATGCTCCTCGCAGCGCTTTTGTCTTTGAAGTGTAGCAACAGCCCTGGAACTGTTGCTACACTTAAAAGGCAGAAGCACCCTTATTGACTAATTGAACAGTCGATGCAAATTGTATCAACTATTTGATTAGCCAAATAATCAAAATTTTACAACCCTAATACTTAGGCCTCAGTGGTTCAGAAGCCAAACCAGTAATCAACATTATCCAAAAGACACGGTACCAGGAACTCATTGTTTCTTTTTATATACACACACACACATATTAATGCACCACTGCACTTGCTGCGATAAGCAGGTGTAAGACCCCTGGATCTCAAATCACGTGTTGTTGAGGGTATTGATCATCATAGCAGTAATATGGCAGGGTCTGTTACTGATTTGAGTTGAAACAAGACACCCACATACCTGGAGAGAACTTACTTCAATACAGGAAAAAAAACCTCATCTGGTCATACACCCCTAAGCTATCACATGCTACCTCCCGCTGGAATAATACAGGGTATTGCTAAACAATTAAAACCCATGCTTGAGGACCACATCTAGAAATAAATATTTTCTGAAACTCTCTTCGGACCTTTAAACAACCCCTCAAACTTGTCATCAGAAAAAAAACAAAAAAAGAAGTTCCCCCACAGACTAGGATACATCAGATCAAAGCAGCATCAGACCTTGATATGATGCTAACCTTTAAAATCCATCAGACCTACCCATGCCCAGCACAACATGATGTGTACCTCATCCAGTGCATGCATACCCCAACAATTAAGTGGGTGAAATGAGACAATCATTACACTCCTGACTGAGCTCACACAGAAAAATGAGACAAACATACCATATCAACCATAGCTGAATACTTTTCCCAGCATGAAGCTCCGTATCTCACCTCTCAGTCCTCACTCAAAGGAAAACTGCACAACACCTTTGAAAGATGAGCCTGGGAGCTTAAATTCATAACTTCCCATGATATTTAGTTTCTAGCATTCATTCAATGAAGAGAGTGGACATAGGGGGTTACAGATTGTTATAATGGGCCATAACACACCTTCATCCCACTTCACCTTGAAAGCTCTCTAACATCATGTGACGTCCTTATGCTAAACAATCTGTTCCCCCTTGCATTTAGCTGCAACACCCTGGGTATGTGTACATGGCAATCCAAAACCTGCAACAGAGTCTTCGAGCCCAGATTAGTTGACCTGAGCTAGTAGGGCTTGGCTTCAGGGATAACTAAAAACTGCAGCGTAGACAGGGGTGATGCATGATTGGGAGACACAAGCATCACTTCACCCCCAAAATTCTGGGAGGAGGGTAGAGGCAAGGGGCCAGCAGCCAGTGGGGTCAGAGCCTCCCCTCTTCCAGGCATGCTGTCTGGCTGCTGCTTTCTCAGGAAGCTTTTGGCCAAGCTACCTGGGACGATGCTTGCTGCTTGGCGCAGAGTAGTGGGACAGACACCATAAGTAACATGGGATGGAAAAAGGGACAGGACAGGGAGAGCATGTGGGCCCTGAGCTAGAGGTAACACAGGGAGGAGTCATGTGGCCCCTTTTGGCTGGTGCCACCTTTGTGTCTCTCCCACTAGTCGCCTCTGAATGTAGCTGTTTGGGCTCAGGCTGGAGCCCGGTTCGGAGATCCCGCAAAATGAACCGAAATGCATACAACACAATTGTACAGCTCTGCAGACAAGCTCCACTAGCCCGGGGGTACTTCAAAGTGACAGTGCCACGCAGTTGAGCTAGGGGATCAGTTGTCCAGCACTGCCACATATGGACCCTGGGGTCAGCTGGGGAGTCCCCAGCTGACCCCGGGCTCCATGCTGCGCTGCCGCTTTGAAATGTACAAGAGCCCCCGCTGGAGCCCAGAGTCAGAGGGACTTCCCGCGTGCCCCTGGCTGCACTCGGAGTTCCACATTCCTCCTTTGAAATGTACAAGAGCCCCAGCGCCTCTTGTCGAGTAGTCAATGGAAATTCCATCGACTACACACCTAGTCAATTAACCATTACTTAACATCCTTAGGCTGGATGACTCCAAAGATTGGTTGTGGGCTATAGAAACTTTTATCTAGGTCACCAGTTCAAATCCAGCTCTAGTGATAATGTCCAAAAGTTGTTACTGTCTGTCTAGTTATCTCAGTCTTAGTCCCAGAGGATGCTTGTGCACATGACAAACACAATAACCACAGTTAGTATCTTTGTTGTCTACTTTGGAAGAGAGACCAAATGAGCCTGGAGAATGAATTATATCTTAGCATCCCTCTAACAGAGTTTGGAGCTATACTAACAGCAAAGGGTGGAGAAGGTTGAAGAGCTGAGAACCAGTAAATGTTCAGATACTAAACAGGAAACTTTATTTCTAGGGCAGACACTCGTTGCCTGTCAGTAGCAGAAAACATACAGACTTACACAGACTCGAGAAGAGTGGGTTGTGGATTCATCCTTAGTATGTCATGCTCCTTAAATAAACAAATGAACTGTGATCATGATAAACAGCATAACCAAAACAAATGGATTATTTCTCTCTTTTTCCTCTCTCTCTTTTGTCAAAGTTTCCTATAGTTCTATAAGCAGGCGCACGTTTCTATCCTTTGCCATCATCACTCAGGATGTGAATGGTTAACTGGTAAGCCTTATCCTTAAGGGCAGACCTATGCTTCTGCACTGATGTGGTGAGTAGAGGGGGGCTGCTCCAGCCCAGCTCACCTCCATTTAGTTAGTTAACTAGTTAAACAAAGTTGAACTGGTTAACTTACAAAATGGAATTTTATAACCCTAATCATCACTGGGCAAACTGCATCATTTGCTCTTCTGGGTCTCTGAGATCAGAGGATATCTAGCAGTTACCTGTATCAGAGGAGGCAACACAGGTAGGGGGAGGCCGTTATTCTTGAAGACATTAACTGGTTGCCACATTACAAAGTCAATTTCTCCTGCCTTTTCACATCTGCATTTTCATAACAAAGGCTATGTATGGGACACATCCAGCCCACTTCATTAGCTTCATTAACACAGGTCCTACAATTGACAGGTACTTTTTTGTTATATATATTTTGGTTTCTGTTATTTCCACTCCTACTCTATGACAGCTCATGATTCTATAAATCTGGTCATCTGAAGACATGGACTGTGCCCATGAAAGCTCATGATACCATCTACACATTGTTAGTCTTTAAAGTGCTACCAGACCATTTATTGTTGTTTAAGTTTTTCCTGTTACAGACTAACTGTTATCCCTCTGAAACTATATATTTTTGTTAATCTCTATTGTGCCATGTAAGGATGTTAAAATGCAATTATCTGGCTAATTGTATAGTTGATACAATTTGTATCGACTATACGATTAGTTGATAAGCTCCACTCTGCAGAGTCACAGCGGGGGTAGCTCCAGTAGCCGACTCAAGCCGGGACCGAGCAGTCCTGGTTCCTAGGCTAGCTGTACAGACAGCACCAAGTTACGAAACAAGCTATTTCAAAATAAGATCTGCAATTTGCATAGCTCAATTTGCAAATCTTATTTCAAGTTATGGTGCAATGTAGATACACCCTCACAGTTCAGAAGTGCGTTAACAGCAGGACCTTGACTCTGACACACAGTTAGAGCCTAGATACCTGAACTCAAAACAACGTCAGCTCCTTCCAAGCAAGAATACTCTGGGGGGGAAAAAAACCCTCTGATTAGCCCAGACAGGGCCTAAAAGAGGCCCCAGTGTAATTTATGACTCAGAAAGGAATGCTGCAATAGTTTCAGATGTCCTAAAATCAGAGAAAACTTCTTGCAGTCAATGATACTAAAAATAACTGTGTGAAACCTGTTCCCCTGAATATTGGGTACATGACCATTACTCAATTCTCCTTTCAAGTTTTCAGATGTTACTAAGTGTCAATAAGGAAACACCTTAACACACCTCCATTGGGGAGTCATACAGGGAAAAAGTTGAAAATATTTTGCAAATAAAGAAAAAAAAAAGATAGCTCATCTCTTGCATATGGTTCAGACCAGCATGCCTGGGGAAATGCACAAGAGCCAAAGAACTACCATGAAAATAATTTGAAAAGAAGCAGAAAATAAATCAGTGTTTACAAATGGTGGAGAATTGACCAAGAAACAGTTAGACTTGTAATCACCTTCATTCGCACTTCACATCACCTCTATGTAAGCATAAGTGCAATGGGGAATAGCCAAAATATGCCACCTCTACTGCCCAAAATTTAAAAATAGCTCTTTCTTGACACTAATACAAATCCCCGGAATTTTGTATCTCAATATGTCTCTGTGATTTGATTCAGAGTGTGCCACATCCTGTGGACAAGGGGGTCTTAAAATGTGTGTAATAAACACAACAAACACTCAGCTCCACAGTATCCAGAATTTTACGAAACTCCCTCCCACTAGAAAAGCTCACTACCATCCACAAGTAACGTTACGGGATTTTAACCTACAGTCATTTCAATGAGGTCAAGAAGAGCTCTGAGCAGCTCTAAAGCTTGTCTCTATCAGGAACAGAAGTTGGTTCAGCAAAAGATATGACCTCACCTACCTTGCCTCTCCTCATTCAACAGACCATTCAATGGAAGCTGCCCTAGCTGAAGCTGGCAGGACAAGAGTGAGAAGGGCTTGGGCTGGAATCTCTTACCTGATCATTCCAGTGGTGTAGCTGGCTGTAGCGCACCTTGCAGAGGAGGAAGCCTTCCAGGTACACAGAGTACAGCTGAAAATATACCCAAGACACATCAGCTCCCCTCCCTGGAGAGCAGCCCCTCTCATTCTCCTGCCTCCCCACATAGCTCCCCTCCCTGCATAAACACCTCTCATTTCCCCTCCCTGCACAGCACCCCCACCCTCCTCCTACCTGGCTCCTCTCCCTGCCAACCCCCCACTTCCACAATTCCCCCAAACAACTCCCAGCGCCCCTTCCTACCCAGCGCCCGCACCCTCCTATCTGGCTCCCCGCCCATGTCTTCCTTCCCCTGCCCCCCGGCTCCACTCCCTCCCCAGCTCCCCGCCAGTGCTGCCCGGGAGGCGGGCCCCGCGGCGGCCTGGCCCCCCAGCCCGAGCCGAGTTACTCAACCACGTAGCGGCCCCCGAACTTCTCCAGCAGCTGCTCCCACCTTCTCGCACCCCCCAGGGAGGGCTGCCTGTCCCAGTCAGCTGTTCCCCCCGCCCCCACACACAGAGCAGAGAGCTGAAAGGAGCAGCCAGCCGCTTTGAGCTGTTCCATGCTGCAAGAGCAGGCTGGATTAAAAGGCTTGGTGGGCCAGATGTGGCCTGCCCACCCCTGTGCTGAGTGTTGAGCAGCTCTTAACCCCAGCCTTCTTCACCCCCCAGGGAGGGCTGCCTGTCCCAGTCAGCTGTTCCCCCCGCCCCCACACACAGAGCAGAGAGCTGAAAGGAGCAGCCAGCCGCTTTGAGCTGTTCCATGCTGCAAGAGCAGGCTGGATTAAAAGGCTTGGTGGGCCAGATGTGGCCTGCCCACCCCTGTGCTGAGTGTTGAGCAGCTCTTAACCCCAGCCTTCTTGTTTTTCTGTAGCATCTGGGACTAGGCTCATGTAACAGGTACTTACAACCCAACCACCAAGCTTTCAGACTCCTCAGCCACCACTATGCACCTGGCATGAAGGGGTTTATCTTTGACTATGTAATTTGGATAATAGCCATGACTCTCAGTGAATCTCTATCTAGGCAACACTTCTGATGGGACTGAACGAGCATGGGGAGGCTGGGGTGTGAATCCTGCAGCTTTCACACTGATTTGCATTACCCAATACCCAAGCTTCACTACAGGATCTTCATAAACGTCTCATTTAGGGGCATGTTAAAGGGAGGTGGTGAGAAAACATGTTACTAAAGCAACTGAGGTTTATAAAGCTTTTGCAGAAGCTGAATTTTTGGGAACTCAAGTAAAAGGAATAAAGTACAATTTTTGTAATATCTTTTATTCATCTGATTTGTTTAGCTTCTTCATTGTCAGACAAGTGACTGACAATTTCTGAAATACCTAAGCAGTTACAGTGTTATGGAAGCAGTCACTCTCCAGCAGTGATAGAGTTATTCCATGGTTGCTCTCGCACTGCATCAAACTCTTTAGGTTGACCATGGATCCATGCTATTTGGGGGTGGTTTTACTGCATCACTGTAATGGAGCACTTACTTCATCAGGAGAAAAAAATTGAGTGTAATAACATGCATAAATAGGTTGCTGCAGGCTGACTTACATCACCCTAGCTTTGTAACATGGACCAGGACTTAGAGTCTCCCTATGGTGCTGCAGAGTTGAAGCAGCAGTACTACATAAGAAGCCCTTTAAGAGCATTCTTGAAAGACACTGGGTGCCCCACCCCATGCTTAGTTTGTGCCAAGTCTTCCTAGGGCTGAGCCCTGGGTCTAAACACCCCTGAGTTTAGCCTGTTTCTAAGTGTCTTGATCAGATGCTTATAAATGTTTTGTTACTGTTTGGACATAGGAAATTGCTTGTTATTTAGGCTTTTTAGGGATGTTTAGACCAATTATATAAATATCATCTAGCCTTTGGATTTAATAAAGGTAATACCCTGCACAAACAACAATAAACTTCAACAGCTGGTCTGACAGGCCATTGCTCTTTTCTGGCAAACCACAGAAACTCTGCTAGAGGGAGAAGCTGTGGCACTAAGCTACAAAGTCTCTCCCTCCCTTTCCTGGTAGCCTCTTGTGTAAGGTAACTGCAATTGGCTAAGGGAGAAGAAAAGCAGCTTACCTGTACCTGTTCCTGAGATCCCTTGGCTACGTCTAGATTGGCATGATTTTCCGCAAATGCTTTTAACGGAAAGTTTTCCATTAAAAGCATTTGCGGAAAAGTGCGTCTAGATTGGCATGGATGCTTTTCCGCAAAAGCACTTTTTGCGGAAAAGTGTCCGTGCCAATCTAGACATGCTTTTCCGCAAAAAAACAAACAAACCCCGATCACCATTTTTGCGATTGGGGCTTTTTTTGCGCAAAACAAATCTGAGCTGTCTACACTGGCCCTTTTGCGCAAAAGCTTTGCGCAAAAGGACTTTTGCCCGAACGGGAGCAGCATAGTATTTCTGCAAGAAGCACTGATTTCAGACAGTAGGAAGTCAGTGTTCTTGCGGAAATTCAAGTGGCCAGTGTAGACAGCTGGCAAGTTTTTCTGCAAAAGCACTTGCTTTTGCGGAAAAACTTGCCAGTCTAGACACAGCCCTTGAGTCCTGTAATCATGGTTCTTTTCTCCTGTTCCTTGTGGTGTCAATTGGTACTTTGGTTCCTGTAATTCCTGTCCTGGTACCTTGTGTCAATAAGAATGGGAATATATGTACCCTTTTAATTTCTATTAACCCCTCACCCCATATTGTTGTGGTTTTGGGGTTGGAGCTTAAAGACTATTAGATCGGTTAACATGTGAGTAGGGTTTGTCTGTTAATTGGGAATAGTTGTTGGGGCAGAGATTCTTAAATAAACTGTTATCTGTTTTCATCTATTCCTGCCTCCTTGGTTCTTTAATCAATAAATCACTAGCCAGTGATAGATGTAGGTGGGGGTTGAGCTTGATTGATTGGTGTTTGATTTGGTTCCCAGCTCCCTTGCAGTTTGGTTCCTTGTTATGGTGGAAAGAGACAGGGTTGGGTGAGACTTACAGATGAAGGTGTGACAGCAGGGATACATTTGGGCCAAATAGTGAGATCCATTTTATATTGTAACTTCCATTTTGGATTGGGACATCCATTTGTGTCATGTGCTGAACTTGTGTCTGAGGCCTTGTCTACACAACAGAGTTTTGTCACTAAAAGTAATCTTTCATTGACAAAAAGCTGGAGATGTGCATACAAAAGCATTACTTCTGCCAACAAAATAAATCCACCCTGGTGAGGGGCATAGAACTTTTTGTGGCAAAGTTAGCTTGACAAAGTGTCATTGTAGATCCTGTGCTTTATGTCATGTCACTGTAAATGGCCTTCAGGTAAGAGGTGTTAAAAGTGTGTATTTTTGTAAATGTGTAACTGCTGACATTTTCAACAGTTACACATTTACGTGGGAGGAGGGATAGGAACTGCTGCTTGCAGGATGCTTGCCTGCTCACCCCCCAACTGGTGGGGCAGGAGGCAGTGCCGATGAGAAGGTGGCTAATTGTGCTACAGGAAGAATGTGTGTGTTTTCCCTTCCTTCATTCTGAAGCCAATACGGAACTGCTTGCCATGGCCCCCACTCCTCCTAGACATTCCTTGCATCTTCCCAACCTAAGTATCATGGTCACTCCATCCCTTCAGGCAGCTTTCAATTTGATAGCCGGTGTTATACACAATGAAAACCTATGTCAGGACACTGTGCTTCACTGTTATCACCCTTTCCAACCCTTGTTTCTTGGTTGATGAAATCTAATTCCAGAACTCACCACTTTTGGGGTTTGTGCCTTGTTTCTGGTCAGCCATGAGGCTGGTATTCTAGCTTGTAAACCATTCCAGATAGGTAGCAGCTCCATTCCCATTTCATTTATCACCCTATCATCTCTCATTTGCAGTGGAGCAGTCAATGCTACCCTTTGACCACCTCATGAAGCCAGCCTTCATTGCCCACTTGACTGTGGTCACTGAAGAAGCTAGATTGAGAATGGTCAATGAAAGCAAACTGCGAAGAGTAGGGCAAATGAACCCCAAAACTGGTGGTTTATTTTTATAATTAGATTTGCCAAGCCAGTAATAAAACAGCTTCTGGACTACCTTATTGATCATCAAGAAGCCAAAATACAGTTTCCTTCAAGCAATCGAATTTTTGGCTCCCACCCAGACAGCCAAATTTATAAAGTGAGGAAGCTTAGTCGCTAAGATTGGACACATTACTCACCAGGTCAATGGATATTTCAGATCTTACCAAATAGACATTTATAGTCAATTAACTAAATCTAAGATTTGTTTTAAAAGAATAAGGATTATGTGTGTAGATAGTAGTAAAGTTCTTAGGTCAGTTTCATAGCAGAGACAGTGAAACTGCTGATTTTTAGAAGTCCTTCCAGAATTAGTTCAGTAGTCCAGCAGGCCATCCCTGTGCAGAGTTTGTTCAAATTCTTCCATAAGAAATTGCAGGGCTAATCCAGAGTGGATATGGAGCCCTTTGTCCTGCAGCTCAACCTTCCCCTGAAAAAATTTAAGAAGATCTGAGATCATAAGGATCAGGCCCCAAAGTCCCTTTATACCTGAAGCTCAGCTGATTAGCCTCTTGTCAGCAAATGAACACAGCAGGCAATCCTGAGATGAAGACTAGGGAATGTACACAGTTGCTTTGATGTAAGTTTCTATTTCCTGGGCATAAACAGATAACTAGTTGTACTGATTAACATAAGGCAATTTACCTATGAATTGTTTGAATGGTTGTTTACCACAAACTTCAAAGAGAAATAAAGACAGTGATATTATTACACCACACATTTTGTCAAATGTTAATATCCTCATTATATCTCTGAATCCATAGAGTATGGTATTGAAACACAACAAACAGAAATAGAAGTTTAGCATCTAAATACTAAATGGTTGTTAAATTTCTAACAAGATATAAGTAAACACAGTCAAAAACAATTAATATCTACTTTCTGATTCTCTAGCAATAGAGACTTACATTTCAAGAACTCTAGTCTATTTAACATGGCTTTCCTAATGATCTTCAAAAAATGGCCCTGTTTACCACTTCAGTACTTTTCTAATATGTCCTTGAAAGGTTGCTTTTCATTTAACCAGCCTACTAGTTGCTTAACTCTTGATGACTCAGTGTCTCAGAGGCATTCTCCCTAAATATCCACTAGCCTATAAATACCTCCTCCTTCCCTTAATGCCTACAGAAAAACTTTGGGCTGTTGGTGTACAGATACCACTACATATCTATGATGACCAATATTCTCATAATTTCCTGTGCTCCACCCTCTGTCGCTCTTGTCTTGCACTTAAATTGTAAGTTCTGTGGAACTGGGAGTTCTTAGGTCAGTTTCATAGCAGAGACAGTGAAACTGCTGATTTTTAGAAGTCCTTCCAGAATTAGTTCAGTAGTCCAGCAGGCCATCCCTGTGCAGAGTTTGTTCAAATTCTTCCATAAGAAATTGCAGGGCTAATCCAGAGTGGATATGGAGCCCTTTGTCCTGCAGCTCAACCTTCCCCTGAAAAAATTTAAGAAGATCTGAGATCATAAGGATCAGGCCCCAAAGTCCCTTTATACCTGAAGCTCAGCTGATTAGCCTCTTGTCAGCAAATGAACACAGCAGGCAATCCTGAGATGAAGACTAGGGAATGTACACAGTTGCTTTGATGTAAGTTTCTATTTCCTGGGCATAAACAGATAACTAGTTGTACTGATTAACATAAGGCAATTTACCTATGAATTGTTTGAATGGTTGTTTACCACAAACTTCAAAGAGAAATAAAGACAGTGATATTATTACACCACACATTTTGTCAAATGTTAATATCCTCATTATATCTCTGAATCCATAGAGTATGGTATTGAAACACAACAAACAGAAATAGAAGTTTAGCATCTAAATACTAAATGGTTGTTAAATTTCTAACAAGATATAAGTAAACACAGTCAAAAACAATTAATATCTACTTTCTGATTCTCTAGCAATAGAGACTTACATTTCAAGAACTCTAGTCTATTTAACATGGCTTTCCTAATGATCTTCAAAAAATGGCCCTGTTTACCACTTCAGTACTTTTCTAATATGTCCTTGAAAGGTTGCTTTTCATTTAACCAGCCTACTAGTTGCTTAACTCTTGATGACTCAGTGTCTCAGAGGCATTCTCCCTAAATATCCACAAAGCTACCTCCTTATCCTATAAATATTTCCTCAAACTTTGGGCTGTTGGTGTACAGATACCACTACATATCTATGATGACCAATATTCTCATAATTTCCTGTGCTCCACCCTCTGTCGCTCTTGTCTTGCACTTAAATTGTAAGTTCTGTGGAACTGGGACTTTTTGTTCTATGTTTGTACAGCACCTAGCACACTGGGCCCTGCTAGCATGAAATAAGTGAATCTATGCAATACTGAATTTCTCTCTTAACTGCTAGCATGGACCTGCAATTAAAGTAGCAGAGTCAGGATTCCTGGATCTATTCTTTGTTCTTCCATACAGTGTGTAAGTTGGACAAGTCATTTAATATCTCTGTGCTTCATTTCCCCCATCTGTACAATGGAAAAAGTATGTTATCCCACACTTGTAAAGTGTTTTGAGATCCATAAACAAGTGCTGTATAAATGCTCAGAATTGTAATATATGTGCCAGCACTAAACAAAGAGATAAATGTGTGTGGGGATGAGGGAATTCTGCTGTTAGCTGGAGTTCTCCCATTCATTAAGACTTCAATGAGAGAAGGATCAAGCTCTATTTTTCCCACTTTTCTGTTAGAAAATAACCACCCAGGCTAGAAAACAGACACCTCATTGGTATCATTTTTTTAACCTTCCAAAGCATTGTTTCTGTCCTTTAAATTATTTTAGAGCTAACAGGATTATTTATTTTGCTTCTTAATGCAATATTATCTTTTTAAAGTGTTAAGCAGTAGCCCCTCCCCCCACTCAGGAATGTCAGTTTATTCAGCAGGCAAGGCATTGTTACCTCAGGCTATTAGCTAGTTTAATCAGCAATCACTTCCTTCTATCTCACATTCCCTCAGGGCATTCTGTTTATCACAGGCTTACATAGTTCAACCCATCCAGAGCCAAAACCAGGAAACATTGATCCTTTACAGTACCACTGACCACTAAGCTGATTTTGCTGAATCCTCTAGCATTTCATTTCCTCGGCTCCCATCTTCCATTTTAACCAGAGAAAACATTTCAAGTGAGATGATGGGATGAGAGAGTCAAAAGCTGCTGGTTGTATCCATGAAATGTGGGGACACTAGAAATATTTGATGGAAACATTTAAATCTCCAAATGTTCATAAGCAGAGAATACTTTTAGTCACATACAAAGGATTACACAGAAACTATTTGGGTTGACAAGCATTCTCTTTGGGATTCTGCAGTGGGCCTGGTGATTAGATTTTGGAGGGGGATATCTAATCAGTATCTCTGGTTCAGGCAGCATAATCACAGGTGCTCTCTCAGGTCAGATAGGCTCTGTGACCGTCACATCAACACACAATCTGCATTTCAATAAGTAAACAATGTCCTTCAGGCTAATTATATTCTCTTCCAAGAAATCAGCAACATTCTCAGTGACTGTCATGAAGAACTGGATTTTGGAAGAAAGCCACTACCGTTTTTCTACACTAAGAACCTTAGCAAATAGGCTTTTTTCCTTCTACTTCTAGTAATCAAGATTTTGCATGGCATATCAAGACAATCTTGAAATATAAGATTTTTTTCTTATCTTTAGAGATAATCCAAGTGATGGTCCATAATTCTGACATATTTCCAGAGTCTCATGTCCCACTGTTCCAGGTGATTAGGACTTACAAGGTGGGCTAAGAAACACTTCTTCTGCCAGGACCTTCCATGTCCAGCAGTGCTGACAAACCTGCCTCTGCAACCCAGTATACTTCAGATGAGGTAGGAAATTCTCCCATTTCTATGATCCTTCACTTAGTGTTGTTCCCATGACACCTGGAGGAATTCTCCTACTATGCATACAGACCTGTAAAAATTGATTTGCCAGCCATGGGAGAACTCCTTCAGCACAGGCATTGAAGGGGGCTGCTGTAGAAATGCAAGCACCAGCTTCCGGAACACAGCTGGGGCCATCTCTGAGGTTGTAAGGGGTGAAGTCAGAACACAGACAGCTTGAAATTTTGAGAGCTCTGGGTTATGTGGAGTACAACCTGTAAGTCTTGCTGTAACAGAGCAGGTCCTTGGCTAGCAAACTGATATCTAGGAATAGTTTGGCCTCTCTTGGTTCAGACATGGGAGACTGCAAAGCTGGCTTTTAACCACTTTTGCCCTCCAGGAGACACAGCACTTTTTTTCTCTGCTCTCTTAGAATCTAAACTATAGCTTTTGTTGAAGTGAAAATTCAGGCTAATCTTCAAATTTACTAAACCTGAAAAGTGCCAAGTCAGCAGAGTATTTAGGCAGAAGATATTTAGGCTGCCCTGACCCAACCTCCTCCTCCCCCTGCTCCCTTAAAAAAAAAATCTTGTATCTTTACAACCAATAGCTGCAACTAGTTTGTTCCAGATAAGCATAAATCTTTTTTATAAGTTCCTTTGCTAAGGCAGCACTAGCCAGGCCTTCCCAGCTGAGGATGCATCTAGTCCACTTCAAAACTATATAAAAGGGTTGTGGAGATACTGGAATTGGGGTCTATTCTGGAGAATGACCGTGTGGTCTCTCATAAAACTTTTTGGCTACGTCTACCGGAGATACTGGAATTGGGGTCTATTCTGGAGAATGACCCTGTGGTCTCTCATAAAACTTTTTGACTACGTCTACCGCTTTTAATGGAAAACTTTTCTGTTAAAAGCATTTTCGGAAAAGCGCGTCTAGATTTGCGGAAAAGCATCCTGCCAAAGCACTTTTTACGGAAAAGTGTCCGTGGCCAATCTAGACGCGATTTTCTGCAAAAAAGCCCCGATCGCCATTTTTGCGATCGGGGCTTTTTTGCGGAAAACAGTACTGTGCAGTCTACACTGGCCCTTTTGCGCAAAAGTTTTTCGGAAAAAGACTTTTGCCCGAACGGGAGCAGCATAGTATTTCCGGAAAAGCACTGACAATCTTACATGAGATCATCAGTGCTTTTCCGGAAATTCAAGCGGCCAATGTAGACAGCTGGCAAGTTTTTCCGCAAAAGCAGATGATTTTGCGGAAAAACTTGCCAGTCTAGACACAGCCTTTATGTTTGGGTGTAAGCCTCAGTGGACTCATCAGAATTAAGCCTGAAGACATTGTGGGTGCAATACAGACCAGTGAGGGGGACGTGTCAACCCTGCCCTGCAGCCTTGAATGCCTTGCAGCAGTAGTTCCCACCTGAGTCGCTCACAAACAGCCTGTCAGCATACAAGTCACATCCGGAGTGTCAGTGTATGGTCACAGCGCTGGTTCAGCAACTCTGATTTCAGCTGCTTGTCAGCAAATACAAGCCACACTCTGGCTTCAATCAGCCTTGGTCATTATTTGAAAGGTGACTCCATCACACTTCCAATCCTGAATCGCCCCTCCCTCAGAATGCGTGTTCTCTACTGTGCAGCCCTTTCCTGGACCGTTCAGAAACTTCAGGTTCATTGTCGTCATAGGCGAACAATATACAGCAAATTGCCACCTTAAATAGATGTACTCTCAGTTCACAACAAAAGAGTAAAAAGTTTATTTAACTACAAAAACAGATTATAAGTGAGTACAAGCATCGAGGTATAAAAGTCAGAAATGAAAATAAAGATAGAACACTTTCTAAGCAAAATAGAGTTGATTCAAAGGAAATTTTTACCACAGGTTTTTAGTGTCCTTGCTGACCAAGTGTTAGATCAAGGACTGCTCGGTAGGTCCAAGGTCTCTGTTTATCTTTTTAGGTGGAGAGAGAGAGAGCAGGTCAAGGAGAGAGAACATAGGGGCTTTGTCTACACTGGTGTGATCTTGCACCAAAAATATGCAAATGAGGCTAAGTGTAGACTATCGCTGAGCCTCATTTGCATATCTAATGAGCCACCATTTTTGCAGAAAAGGCTCTTGCGCAAGGAGCATCTACACTGCCCCTTCTTGTGCAAGAAAAACCCTCCTGCACAATGCCGTTATTCCTGAAAATAATCAGCGTAATGGCATTGCACAAGAAGGTTTTTCTTGCGCAAGAAGGGGCAGTGTAGACACTCCTTGTGCAAGAGCCTCTTCTGCAAAAATGGCTGCTCATTATATATGCAAATGAGGCTCAGCAATATTCCATGCTTAGCCTCATTTGCATATTTCTGGCACAAGATCGCGCCAGTGTAGACATAGCTAGGGTGTTTCATTCCTGACACTTATAGTTCAGTCCCCCTTTGAATTGCTTTTTCCTGAGAGTGACCCCTAGATAATAATCTCTCTGGGTGAGAGAAAGGAGATATGGAGTCTGGTGGGAAGTGATGCCAGGCTATTCCTTCTCCCCATGTTTGCAGAAACACATTGTCACGGCTGAATTCCCCCACCTAGCACTTAAAGTGTAGGTAGCAGGGGCTGGCTAGCGAAATAAAACCTCTGTAAGATCCTGTCTCTGCAACTCCCGGAGACAAAACAAACAAAACAAAACAAAAACCCACAACTTTTCCGGTTTCAGTTCCCTGAAATCCAGCGATCGCTGCCACCCCCAAGTGTCCAAATCTTTTTCCATAGAAGAAATCACTTGGAATCTCTTTCCTGAGGGATAAATTACCCAACCTCCTTTCCCCAAGAAGTGGGAAAACAAACAGAGCACACTTTAGCAGAGAACAATGAACTTGTGCTCTCTCCCTGATAACATGTCTGCAGCCAGGCACTTAAGCTTAAGGACACATAAGATAAACCAATACCAGTCAACAGAACTAAAAAAAGAAAACACTTTTATTATTAAAACAAGACTATGCTTGCAAGCATAGTAAATGACTTGGTGTTAAAAGCCATGAATTGGAATAATCTCAGGGATTTTCCCTGGGCTGTAATCAATGTTCCCACTGAACTGTGAAGCAGCACAGTTTCACAGGTGATTAATGAGCCCCGCCCAGTCAGTCAGTCAGGGTTCCATGCAGGGAGCTGACTCATTGGCTGGGCTGATTAATCACCTGTGAAGCTGTGCTGTCTCACAGTTTAATGGGAACACTGGCTATGATCCTTGGTTACTAGAAGAAACAATTAACCAGCTCAGACATAATTCCCAAACAAGAAAAACAGTAAACCTTGGAATACCTACATTTTCCCCTATTCTCCCATTCTAAAGAAACCAGGGGATCTGCTTTTGGGAGAGTTCATCTCTCCTCTCTGTGCCTGGAGAAGATTCTGTTTGAACCAAACAAAAGAGATTGCTTTGTTCAGTTTGAAATTCTTTAGCTGCATTTCATTGGCCAACGACCAAAGCCCCCCTGCCTCAGGTGCAGTGCTTTAAGGTTAACATAAACCCTTTCATCACTCTCCAGGTAAGTTAGCTTCCCCAATTATCACCTCTAATATCATTAGCTCACAGACATTTACCTTTCCTCCCTCCCAATCCCCCTTCTGTTCTGATATTTGATTTGTCCTTTTTATGTGTTCATTTTTTTTAATTGTATCCTTTGGTATATATGGTTGTGACTATTTTCTTCCACTATTTGATCTGAGGAAGTGGGTCTGGCCCACAAAAGCTCATCATCTAATAAACCATCTTGTTAGTCTTTAAAGTGCTACATAGTCCTGTATTTTGCTTCAGCTACACCAGACTAACACGGCTACATTTCTATCAGTTAAGTTAGTCTTCTTTGCAGCTCCCATTCATGACACACCTATTTTGTCTTCTCTTTTTCCCATCTCACTGTCAAAGGCAGTGTTTCCCAAATGGTGTTCCACAGAACCCCGGGGTTCCATGAAGTGAAAATAAGGGTTCAGTGAGAAAATTCCATTACAATAACATTTTATGATTTTTAAAAAATTATTTATATTTAAGCATTTATGAATTTTATTGAAAACTATTTTGTGCTTGCCACGATAAATGTCTCTGTGTAATGCCAGCTTAGCCAGAGAGTTGGGATGATAAAGTTACTAATCAGCAATGATGGCTATATATTAGACTTTTATTAGGGGTTCTGCAAAATTCTTTCCAGTTTGAAAGAGTTCTGTGGCCAAATAAAATTGGGAAAGACTGGTCTAAGGTCGCTGTTTAATGGTTATATGCAAATGGAGGTAAACATACATCCTTTTGTTAAGACAAACCTGCTCAGCCAGATTTACCCAATCAGGACTATGTGAGTTTGAACATGTGCCTTTAACATCATACAGGGGGATATCATAACTTTACACATGACATTGCTACATGCCAATCCCAACGATATCAGTGACCAGTAATGTCACTTTCAAATGATATCTTACAAGGCATATTTTATACAAAGATTATTACAGTGGAGTATAAATACAGCCCCCTGCCTGCACCTGAACCAGCACAATCCCTTTCACTGTGCAGGAAGATAAAAGCCTTAGGCTGTTGTTATTGTTGTGTACTTTACCTGAGCCTTGCTATGTGTGGTTCTAGGAGCTGAGAACAAAGGAGATTTAATGCTGACAGGAAAATCAAGGCAGCTATGGAATACAGGGGTTAGCACCACAAAATTTGGCACCATTGTGCCATGAAGTATAAGGAAACCTTATAATGAGTGTGATATGCTATTCCATACGCTTTATGAAAATGTACTTAGGATATGAATTACATAACTGATATACTTTAAGCAAGATGGCACATGTAAAGGTATAATTGGAAAAGTTATGATTTACTGAATATAATTATCCCATGCATATGTACATACCATTTTTGTAGCTAAAGTTAGGAATATTGACCTGTGTATCTGTATTTCATATTTGCTGCTTTGGGTCACTCACTACTGACACTTGAAGAACTACAATGAAAAAGCCAAATGATGTCCCATCAGCTTGAACAATGGTCTGTGGATAGGTTTGGCCTTCCTGTGGATGCTCTACACTGCTACAGACAACAGTCAGGTGACCTGGTCACCTGATACTAACCAGCATTTTGGACTGCTGAATAGTTCCATGGGGCTGGGGAGAATCAAACAAAGGTTTCCTGCTTTATGGAAATTCTATATAAGATGGCGGGTGGAGAAGAGAAGATAAATGATTTTCTTCAGCTTGCTTTATTTCTGCTTCTGCACTCCAAAGAGATACTTGAAAACACCTGAAAACAAAGGGATTGTTAGGGGAGCTGGGGAAGATCTGTGGGTTAAGTTACCTAGCCTGTGAAGTGCTGTACCTGAAACAATAACTAGCGTGAGTAATTATTGTTTGTAATCATTTTTTTAAATGAATCTAGCTTATATTACACACTTCGTATTATTTTCTTAGACCAAGTCTATACTGGCAAGTTACTGCATACAAAATTGAGGTGACTACATTGTCAAGGCACTTAGTGCGCACTAGCTCTGCATTTGCTGCATTCTAGGTAAACCACTTCATTAAGAACCACAGAGCTTTCTGCACTCTGGATACAGCACTGGGCTACCAGTGTGGGCACCACTGTGCAGTGCTCTGTCTTGACTGGTCTCCGGCAACCATCCCATAATGTCTGTTCTTACCTCTCTGGTCATCTGCTGAAAAAGCCAAATGATGTCCCATCAGCTTGAACAATGGTCTGTGGATAGGTTTGGCCTTCCTGTGGATGCTCTACACTGCTACAGACAACAGTCAGGTGACCTGGTCACCTGATACTAACCAGCATTTTGGACTGCTGAATAGTTCCATGGGGCTGGGGAGAATCAAACAAAGGTTTCCTGCTTTATGGAAATTCTATATAAGATGGCGGGTGGAGAAGAGAAGATAAATGATTTTCTTCAGCTTGCTTTATTTCTGCTTCTGCACTCCAAAGAGATACTTGAAAACACCTGAAAACAAAGTGATTGTTAGGGGAGCCGGGGAAGATCTGTGGGTTAAGTTACCTAGCCTGTGAAGTGCTGTACCTGAAACAATAACTAGCGTGAGTAATTATTGTTTGTAATCATTTTTTTAAATGAATCTAGCTTATATTACACACTTCGTATTATTTTCTTAGACCAAGTCTATACTGGCAAGTTACTGCATACAAAATTGAGGTGACTACATTGTCAAGGCACTTAGTGCGCACTAGCTCTGCATTTGCTGCATTCTAGGTAAACCACTTCATTAAGAACCACAGAGCTTTCTGCACTCTGGATACAGCACTGGGCTACCAGTGCGGGCACCACTGTGCAGTGCTCTGTCTTGACTGGCCTCCGGCAACCATCTCATAATGTCTGTTCTTACCTTTCTGGTCGTCATCTGAGCTCTAGTGCCTTGTTTTCAGGTAACCAACCTTGAGACGTGCCCTTTGCATTCTTTTTGAAATTTGAAAGTCCTCTTCCTGTTTTCTCAATGATGCGTGTTGTGTTTTCAGCACATCTTTACAGCTGGCCATACCTGCTACATGCACCAGGAGATCACCTGCTTGGAGCCACATCAAGGTGCTGGACCTCATCAGCTTCTGGGGAAAGGATGCAGTCCAGTCCCAGTTGCTCTCCAGCCATAGGAATTATACCTATAAGCACATCTCAAGGTGCATGACTGAAAGGGACCATGACCAGGACACACTGCAGTGCATGGTCAAAGTAAAGGAACCATGAAATGCCTACCACAATGTGTGAGAAGCAAACTGCCGTTCCTGTGCTGCACCCATGACCTGCAGGTTCTTCAAAGGAGCTGAGTGATATACTTGGACGCAACCCCACCTCTGCTCCAAAGACTAAGCATAGCTGCCAATCCATAAAAGTTAAGGACCAACCTAGATAGCCTATCAGTTATTGTTACAACTAGAAAAGGGAGACTTTTTGGATGTCGCAAGCTCAGGAGGGGGCTTAGTTCTGGAATTCAATTCCTGTTTGCCAGAGCACAAATATGGCTCTCTTCAGGGGAGAATGTGAAGAGATAGAAGGCCAGGACATGCCCAGCTAATCTTTTGGGCCCATTAGTCAGCATGTTGAGTAGCTTGGTTTAAAATCAAATAAATACGACTAGAGAAAGTTTAAGGAACTATGAAAAAAAGCTTTCAAAACCTGTTGTAAATAAATCAGAGATCCATATTCCTGTGGTTTTGAAGAATACTATATATTCTTGTATTCTTTTGTTTTAGAGGGGGGGGTTGGGCATTTGCTCAAAGTCTATTTCCAGGCAGTACGGTTTAGATCTTCAGAAACTTCCACAGTTAAGGGAACTTTAAATTATTTCAGCATATCTGCTATTGTAGGATGGGATGAATTTAAAACATTCACTCTGAAAGAAAAAGGTCACATCTAGCATGTCTTTAATGAAATATTTTACAATTGATCTCTTCAATGCTTACAAAGGGAAGTTTTTTGTAAATTCATTGTCTATAAACTCAGTCTAGCCAAGTCATGGTTCCACTATTGCTATCAGTAATCTAGCTACGCTAGTATAATCTGTACTCTTGCTAGCGCAGTGACAGCAAGTGGATATTGCTAGGCATCAACTTCTGCATTGAGCACCAGGCAGTCTCAAGTCACTCAGATTGCTCTCTGGTCTTGTAAATAGGCAGAGTGGAAAAGGAGTAGAATGCATTCATGTAGACTACGGATGAAGAACCTTTTTTGGGGTTGGGGGTCACTAATGCACAGTAAAATCAGTCAGGTGAGAAGCAAAAAACAAGCCCTGAACTGAGAAGCATGTAGACACAGGTGCACATGCAAACCAAAAACAACCCCCACAATGCCCCCTAGAGGTGACATCCTTTTTTATTTAGTATTTTAGTGTGATGTCTGAGACTGCTTTTCCTTGCTGAGCTTCATTATGTCTTCTGGACTGAAGATGTTGCTATTTTACCTAGCAGTGATGCTTTGCAATTCTGTAAATTCATGTTAAAAGGCTTCTATATTGAACTGTCTGAAAAAAATGTTTAATTCCAGTTCTTTTGATCTTAGGTCTTGAAATAGGACACAATTTGTGAAATAAATGTGCATAATCCCTGGCATAATCTACTATAGACACAAGTTTTTGTTCCTGAAATGTTGGGAAATGCACCATATTGCCCTTTCCAAGTTGCATTTGCCACATCTTTAATTTAGCTTTGAATGATTTGACGTTTGAAAGAAGGGAAGCAAGAAGCTAGTTATGCCCTTGCAATTTGACACTGACCTCTGACAAATGCTGAGTAATGTCAACCATGAATGCAAGGTCATATAGCCAGTTGAGGTCACTCAGCCCACCCACGAATTTTCTCTTAATCTCCATGAAAAGTTTCACTTCATTCCTCAATTCATAAAACCGCGTCAGCATCCTCCCCCAGTTCAGCCATCACATTTCACAATAATAAACTAAATCACCATACTCTGCTTTGAGATCTTTCAACAGCTCTTTAAACTGGTGGCTGTTCAGTATTTTATGTTTGATAAAGTTAATGCTTGATATTGCTACTGATATTTTGTTGTTCAATTGCATGGATTGTGTGCACAGATTCTCTTGAATGATGCAATGACACAATCAACTTACTTGGATCAAAACCAACACAATCCATTCTTTCTTGACTAAGGCAACTAATCCCTTCTGAGATCCAACCGTCGTTAGAGCACCACTGGTAGTAAGTATCAGAGGGGTAGCCGTGTTAGTCTGAATCTGCAAAAGCGGCGAGGAGTCCTGTGGCACCTTATAGACCAACTGAAGTGTTGGAGCATAAGCTTTCGCGGGCAAAGACCCACTTTGTCAGATTCTATGCAGGAAAATAGCCAGCTAGAGTCTATTTGTTATATCTGTTGCCTATCAACACCAGAGGGTGTGTCTAGACTGGCAAAAGCTTGCCACCTGTCTACACTGGCCACGAGAATTTGCGCAAGAAAACTGACTTTGATGTACAAAATCAGTGCTTCTTGCGCAAATGCTTTGATGCTCCTGTTCAGGCATAAGCCCTCTTGTGCAAGAAGGCCAGTGGAGACAGGAACGTTAATTTCTTGCGCAAGAAATCCCGATGGCTAAAATGGCCATTTTAATAACAAATAGTTTTGAAAAAAACAAAACGATCACAGCTGCCCCAGCCAGAGCCCAGGCTAACCCAGGGGAGAGTTGTAAAACAGCAGCGGCCCATCAGGGTTAGTCCCTGGCAGGCTGCTGCTGCTCTTTACCTGCACCTCCAGAGTTATTGGGTGATCACATCTTGTTGGCTGTGGATCATCATTTGCTGCTAATGGGAGCAGCAGGAAACGGCACAGACTGGAACGCGGCTTCCTGCACTCCCAGACACTTCTATTGGCCACGAGCAGCAATCCGCAGCCACCAAGAGCAGAAAGGCAAATACCTGGTGGGAGGGATAGCTCAGTGGTTTGGGCATTGGCCTGCTAAACTCAGGGTTGTGAGCTCAGTCCTTGAGATGACCATTTAGGGATCTGGGACAAAATCTGTTAGGGATGGTACTTGGTCCTGCTGTGAAGGCAGGGGCCTGGACTTCATGACCTTTCAAGGTCTCTTCCAGCTTTAGGAGATAGGCAGTCTCCATTCATTTCAGCCCAATACCCATGGAGGCACAAGTAAACATAGCAGTGATGGCCTGGATCTGGCCTGCAGGCTGGTATTTGCCCTTCTCTGGGTTATCCTGACTGGCTGCTCCTTCCTCCCTTTTCTGGATACCCCATGCAGGGAAATAGCTCAGGGGCTTCCCTTCCCCTCCTGTTCCTACACTCCACCTTACTCGATTTCTTGCAGGTGGTGTCTGGGTAGAGCTGGACACTGCAGGAAGTCACTGCCCCACAGCTCCCTGTTGCAGCTGCCCTATGTAGGGAAGGGACTCCGTCCATTTCCCCGATGCAACCTGGAGCAGCTCTGGGCAGTAAGTGCTGAAGTGGAGAAGGAGCTCTGGTGCTTTCTGTGATGCTGCCTGGAGCAGCTGCCCCCTCCAGCCACCTCACCTGCATGCCTCCTCACCTGTATTCAAGGAGCCAGAAGTGTCCAGGTAGGTGCTGCAGGTGAATTTAGCTTGAGATTGGCAGCCACTGGACTGCCTACAGCAGTACTGCATGACTGTTGGACCCCCCTGTGAGCCCAACTTAGTTGTCCAGAGGACCAAATGTAATCCTTAGGCTATAGGGTCCCCACCCCTGAGGAGACCCTCAGAGGAGACATCCTCACAGAGTTGTTTCACTGCATTCCAGTGTAGTCTGCTGCTAAGCAGGAGTCACTTGTCACTGGCAGTGCACAGTAGAGCTCTCATTAATGCAGGATAGGATTCCTCTCCACCAGGGGTCAGCAACCATTGCGAAGTTGTGTGCCAAGTTTTAACCCTCCTGCCCTGGGCCGTGCTACTCTCTGGGGGGGAAGAGGGGGAGAGGCAGAGAGGAGGGAGAAGGGGCTTTCTCCCTCGCACACCCCTTCCACAAACAAACAGTTGCTAATGGAAAGAGAACGATTACTTACCTGTATTTGTTGTTCTTCGAGATGTGTTGTTCATGTCCATTCGAATGAGGTGTGTGCACGCCACGTGCACGGTTCTCCGGAGCGTTTTTCCCCTGGTGGTACCCATAGCACTGACAGGTCACTCCCTGGAGTGGCGCCGCTATAGCGGAGCATAAGTACCCCTGCCAGTGCTCCGCCTCCTCAGTTCCTTCTTGCCGGACACTGAAGGGGAAGTAGGGGGGAATTGAATGGACATGAGCAACACATTGCAAAGAACAACAGTTACAGGTAAGTAACCGTTCTCCTCTTCTTCGAGTTGTTGCTCATGTCCATTCGAATGAGGTGACTCCCAAGCAGAAACCTGGGGATGGGGTCAGAGTAAGTCTCTAAGATCACGAACACCAAGTTGTATCCAACAACCAGAAAGTTTATTAAACAAAAATGGAACAGAACAGTAACAAATAACCTGTGGTTTAAATTTACAGTACAGAGCTGAGAACAGCAGCACCCAATGCAGCATCATTCATGACCTGCTGGGAGAGTGCGTAGAGTGCCATGAACGTGTGTACGGAGGACCACGTGGCCACTCTACAGATTTCGATAATGGGAACCTGTGCCCCAAAAGCTGTGGAGGACACATTACCCTAACCTGGGGTGGTTCTCTGTGGGCCAACCTATAGCAATCTCTGTTACACAAAGAGACTCAGGTAGACAATCTTTGGGTCGAAACTAGTAGACCCTTCATTCTTTCTGCAAACGCAATAAACAGCTGAGGTGATTTACGAAAGTGTCTTGTTCTATCTATGTAAAAAGCCAAGGGATGCTTGGCATCTAAGGAATGCAACACTTGCTCCTTAGGGGAGCGGTGTGGCTTCAGGAAGAACACAGTTAAGAATATTTCCTGTGACATATGGAAGGGTGAGACTACCTTGGGGAGGAAGGTCGGGTGTGGGCAGAGCCTAACATTATCTGCCCAGAACACTACGTAAGGTGGCTCTACTGTCAAAGCATGAAGTTTGGAGACTTGGCTTGCCGAAGTTATGGCCACTATAAACACTACCTTAAGAGACACGTGCCTTAGGGAGCAGGTAGCAAAGGGCTCGAAAGGGGGCGACATCAGCTTTGTGAACACCAGATTGAGATTGCACTGGGGAATGGGTGGTCTCACACGAGGGAACAATTTGTTCAGTCCTTTCATGAACCTCTTGACCACATGGTCAGTGAACAGGGAAGTACTCCCGCACCCAAGGTGGAAAGCTGAAAGGGAAGCTAAGTGCACTTTGATAGACAAGGTAGATAGGCCATCCTGCCACAACCCGAAAAGGTGGTCCAGGACACGGGCTCGGCATGGGTCCAGTCCTTTTTGGGATGCCCATATGATAAAGAGTTTCCACTTAGCTGCATACGACCTTCTAGTGGATGGCTTTCTGCTACCTAATCGGACCATCCGTACTGCGTCCGAGCATGCCCGCTCATCCCACGTCAACCATGGATAAGCCATGCAGTGAGGTAGAGTGACCTGAGGTTTGGATGGACTAGTAGTCTGCCCTGCCAAGGTTGTGTAATGAAATCTGAAACCATGGGCAGGGGCTGTGGCTCTGCATGCAGCATTTCCAGCAGTATGGGGAACCAAAATTGTCTGGGCCTATTAGGATGATCAGTGCCCTGAACACCTTGAGCCTGGTTAGGACCTTGGGGACCAGCGGGAACACATACAGGAGTCTCTAAGACCCTGTCATTGTTAGTGCATCTCCCCTGAATTGCTTGCCCAGCCCCAGAAACAAGCAATAATGGGGGCATTTCTTGGCAAAAAAGAGCCACCTGGCGATTACCCCACCTGTGGAAAACCTGACCCAGGACCTCCCCCTTCAGGGACCACTCACAGGCTCCGAAGGACCTGCTCAGTGCATCTGCCAACAAGTTCTTGCAACCCTGCAGGTACTCTGCTTGAATGTGGATGCCATGCCTTATGCACAGGTCCCATAGGAGCAATGCCTCTCGGCATAGAGGGGATAATCAGCCTCCCCCACTCCCATTTGTTTATATAAAACACAGCTGACGTTGTCCAAGCGCACCAGAATTGAGTGTTGCGAGATCATGGTCAGGAACACCTCACATGCTCTCCTGACCGCCCTCAATTCCCTTAAATTGATATGCAGGGCCCTCTCCGGCGGAGTCCACATCCCCTGCGTCCTGTGGCAGCCCAGGTGAGTGCCCCAGCCAACATCGGAGGCATCTGTAACCAATGTCACTGAGGGCAGCTCGATCTGAAGCGGCACCCCCTTGCATACAACCTTTAAGTCAACCATTGGAGGGACAGTGAGGATAACATCCCAGTGGGCTGTGGACTGGTTGAAACACTTGCCAGCCAAGCCTGGAGAGGCTGTACACGCCACCATGTGGCTGAGCAACCTCATACAGGTGCGGGCTGTGGAAGGGGAGGGGGAACGCTTGAGGTCATTCACTATGCTTAGTATGGTATTGAACCTGACTGCAGGAAGAAAAGGTCGCTTTCTCCCTGGAGAAGTTCCCACAAACTCTATGTCCTGACCGGGTGGGGGGGGAGCAGGAGGGGGGTTGAAGGAGGTCAACATAGACTTTTTGTTGTTCAGCATTGTTCAGGAGATCTTCGTGAGATAGGTCCCTGAGCAGAGATGGGGAGGAAGAGAAAGAAAGGGGGGTCCCAGAAAGGGAATGGAGGACCCCATCTTTACCAGGCCGAGCACCCATCTGTCCAATGTTGCCACAGGTTGGTCCGAGGTCAAGTGGGATAATCTGTCCCCAAACAGGGGGGGAAAGAAGGAGGGTTGGCACACGGTCCTCAAAGGTGATTTCACAACGGTGGCTTGGTCTGCTGGGAAGAAGGCTGACCCGCTCCCCTAACATTATCCGGCCGAGGACGGCAACGCCTTGCGCGATTGGAGGCTGAAGTAGATGTCGCCGCTGCGCCGCTGCTGCGCCCCCACTGGGAGCCTGAGGCCGACGCCTCCAGTAATTGCCACAGGAAGGCTGGAATCGCGCTCTGCCCGGCTGACTATAGTGGAGTTGCCGCCTCTGAGCAGCCAGTGTGTGGATCCCCAACAACCGGAGCATGGACCTAGTGTCCTTCAAAGTGTGCAGCCTGGAGTCTGTGTGCTCTGAGAAGAGGGCCTTGTCCTCGAAAGAGAGGTCCTGAATCGTAGACTGCACATCTGGAGGTATGCCAGATACCTGCAGCCAGGCACTGCGGTGCATAACCACGCCAGAGGCCATGGTCCTGGGAGGCCTGCAGGACAGTACGAGCAATGGCGGCTGAGTCCACCGCGTCCAGGGAGGCCTGCAGGGCAGTATGAGTGGTTCTCCTGCCCTCCGTGGTCATGGTGGTGAACTCATACTGTGCGTCAGGAGGAAGTTTGTCTCTGAATTTGTCCATCGCCTGCCAGGTGTTATAGGCATAGCGGCTAAGCATTGCCTGTTGATTGGCAATGTGAAGCTGAACCCCCCTATCCTCCCCCGTAGCATATACCTTATGCTCCAACAGGTCTAGGCGCTTGGGCTCTCTGGCCTTTGGTTGCAGCAGCTTTTCTTTTTGTGCCGTGGCCTGGACTACCAGGGAGCCCGGGACAGGGTGGGAGTACAAATGCTTATGCCCTGATCACGGGACATAATTTCTCTCAACACCTTTAAGGGTAGGGGGGTCAGTGAAGCCGGGGTCTGCCAAAGCGTGTTCGTAATTTTGCCTACCATCTTGTTGAGCGGCAAAACCAATTTGGTAGGAGTATCTTCCGAGAGGATGTCCGCCATTGGATCTGACTCCTCTGGTACTGGTTCCATCGGCAAACCCAAATTGGAAGCCAGGGGACGCAAGAGCTCCTGATGGGACTTGAAATCCATTGCTGGCATGGACGGAGCAGAGTCAGAAAGAGCCTCATTTGGGGATGAGGATGATAAGGTCTCTAACAGGCTCTGGAGCTGGGAGCACCTCTGGGGGAATAGGCACCTGGGGAAGCTGTAGACACGGCTGAGGGCACAACCTCAAGACAGATGACCCGAGTCCTCCATATGAGAAGTTTCCTCCGCTGATGGTGGAGGGGGTCTGGAGAGTGATGCTGATGTGGGGATTGGGAGGGGTGCATCGCCGAGAGGAGCTGGATGCCTATGAGGGCAGCATGGGCCCCTGCCACTGGTGATATGCCCAGGACGTCCAGAAGGGCCAGGGAGGCTGTGACTCTGGAGGCCAGGTCTGCTGGAAACGGTGCTGTTCCGTCCGGTGCCGGGAATGGTACCTGGATGAGGCCCTGGACGAAGCCACCGTGTGAAGCAACTCAACATCGGACTCCAACCAATAGTCGATGGCGGACCACGGCAGTGCTGGGCCAGGCTGTCCTGGAGCCACGGTGGGTTTAAACCTGGCCATGGACTGCAGCTTACCCACATGGGCTAGTGGAGGAAGCCGCAATGGTGCCGGTGCTGAAACCCCAGCACTGGGAGTCTGTTGTGATGCCGTAACCATAGGAGTGCCTGCCCCGGAACCAGTGGCAATGTTGTCATAGACCAAGCTGATGTATATGCCGGTGCTGGCTGATGGTACGGTACTCTCGTTGGTGCCAGTGTCGGTACCATTCCCGGTGGCGGTGCCAGGCATGGTGTGGCTATCGGTGCTGGTGTCTGCACTGGTGCCGCAGTCAGCAGCAATGCCGTTGAGGAAGGCAGGGCTAATGCCCCTGCACAGCGCAGTACTGGTCGGTACACCTTTGGATGTTGAGGTAGTTTGGTGGTACCGGGCCAGCTGCATGTCGCTGGACGTAGATAGGATAAGTCCAGGAAGCGACAGCAATGACCTCGACGAGGTCACTCTGCTTCTACCGTCAGTGCCTGTAGAGGTGGTGGTGACACGGGCGGCAATACTGGTGTTGCCTGTGGAGTGGCCGAAGGCCCCAGTGCCAACCAGGGCTCCTGCTCCAGGGGGCAACCGGTGCCAACGTGGCCCCCAGTGTCAGTGGGCGCGATCCCTCCAAGCCCAATGAAGACTGTGGAAAGGCCATGAGGTGGATCAACTCATGGGCAGCCTCAAAGGTCTCTGACATGAATAGTTTGTGCAGCGGCATCATGCCTGAGCTACTGGGGTGGTCAGTGGCCTTTTTCTGGGTCTCTGAGGCAGCAGCGCTGGTAGGGCTCCGGTTGGATGGCCGATGCTAGTGGTGCTGACCCATACAGGACTTACGGCTCGGTGATCTGCCCCTCGAAGCTTTAGCCTTCTTTAGGGCCGGGGAATGCAAATGGTGCCTCGGTGCCAGTGGCTTCGGCACCGATGCCTTATCCCATGCCAGAGCGCTACGCGTTGACCCCAGTGCACTGCGTATCGTGGCCTGAGGAACCAGTGCTGGTTGAAGCACCGCTTTCATTAATAAAAGTTTTAAACGAGAATCTTTTTCGGTGCGCGGCTTGAATGCCCTACAGATCTTACAGGCGTCTGCCAGGTGGGCCTCCCCAAGACACTTTAAGCAGCAGTCATGGGGGTCACCCTTGGGCATAAATTTTGCACAGGACGCACAAGGCTTAAAACCCTGCAGCCCTGGCATTCTCCACCCCCATAGGGGGAAGAAAACAAAACGAACCTTAACACTAAGTACCTAACTAATGCGAACTATTTACACAAGAAAGCCAACTGGCGAACAACGCTGCTAACTAAGCTATCTATCATGGGCGGTAAGAAGGAACTGAGGAGGGGGAGTGCTGGGAGGGGTACTTATGCTCTGCTATAGCAGCGCCACTCCAGGGAGTGACCTGCCGGCGCTATGGGTACCACTAGGGGAAAAACACTCCAGAGAACTGTGCACGCAGCGCGCACACACCTCATTCAAATGGACATGAGCAACCACTCGAAGAACTATTACATCATTACGCCCCAGCCATTTTGCTAGTGCTGCAGCTGGGAAGAACAGTTTAATTTAAATTATTAGACTGATCAGGTGTTTTAACTTTCTCAAGCTAGTTTATCAAACTTCATTTTAAATAAAGTAAAATATTATGTCCAAAACAAAAGGTTTCAATGTTTTCTTTATTTAGGGCAGGGATGGGGAACCTCTTTTGGGGTGGGGCGGGGGGTCAATGACCCACAGAAAAATCAGTTGGGAACCACACAAGTGGTAAGCAAATAAAAAAAATCTTCCCAACCCTCACTGATGTGCCTCCCCCTCCCCCCCCATACTGAGACACTTCACTCTTCTGGCACTCCAGTCCCCACAGGATGAGGAGAAGCGACAAGGAGGACTTAGGTTCAGGGCTTCCAATAGGCCAGATTTACTTTTCTGGGGTTCAAGTTAGTGGATTTTGTGTACCTCCTTAGGTTCTGGAATAGGAACAAAAATAAGGGGTTCAATGTGTGGGACAGGGCTGCTAGCGGGTGGGATATGGATGCAGGACAGGATGAGGAGGCAGGGTCTGGAAGTTTGGTGGCAGGAGAGTGTGCTGGTTAGAGGGAGTTTGGGGGAGTAATGCAGAAAAGGTGAGAGGGTGAGAAGGCAGCCAAATAGCTAGTTGGGGAGGGAGGCAAAAAAGGGGGGAATAAAGGAAAGTGTAGCTTCTGCAAAGTAAAATTATAACCCCCTCATCTTCCTCTGCTCCAGTCGCACTCTCCTCAGCCCCATGATCCTCCCCCAGCCTGATCTCCTGCATCACCCCATAACCCCTCCCATCCTGCTCCCACAGCCTGATCCCCTGCATTGCCCCCTCCCCTCTTACCCCCACTTCCCTGTGTCCCAAGCACATTAATCAGCAGGGCAACAGCTTTGGGGCAAGGAGATATGGGGAAAGGGGACAGTCTCATCCCTGCCTGGACCAGCCCTTTGCTTGCTGCTCAGGGGCTGGTGCAGGCAGAGCCTGGGGCTGCCCAGGGCTGGCTCTAGCCCAGCTGGGCAGAGAGGGGCACTGGGGAAGGAGCTTCCCCAACCCTGAACACAGCCTGCAGGGTGCAGCCCAGTAGGACCTGTGCCAGTTGCCCAGCCCCACCCCCTCCCAAAGCAAGAAGCCGGTAGCCAGGAAGGGGAAGGGTTAACCTCTTAGCTCCTGGGAGCTGCACACACAAGCTAGGCAGGGGCAGCCCTAAGGACATGTATACACCTCCCCTGACTCTCCCCTCCCAGCAGGGAGTCAGAGCTAATGCTCTAGCCAGGTTGCTGAGACGAACTCCTGGCTGCAGAAGGGGAGGGCTGAGCGCTCACCTCACATGCCACGGGAAATTGGCTTGCCTGACCCTTGGTCTAGACTCAAGTTCTGCCCTGTCATTTTTGACTTTTTACTCATGCAACATTCCCATCAACACTGTGCAGGACCAAACCCTCTCTCTTGCCCATTGGAGAGAGAAGTACTGCCTATGGGGCACTGTTGACAACAGAGCTGGGTGACTTCTGCATGTGTCTGGTTCAAAAGCATTTTTCCAAATGAAAAAACAAGTTCACTCCTGTACTGAAAATAATCGTTTTCTGTGACCATTCACAGGAGTGATGCTCTTGCACATAGTAATGTCCTAGAAAGTGTCTTGCCTCTAGAGCAGGGGACTGGACAAGATGACTTTTCAAGGTCCTTTGAATCACAGAATACTAGAACTGGAAGGGACCTTGAGAGATCATTGAGTCCCTCAGGGCAGGACCACAACTTAAGTGTGGTTGCATATACATGCAAATATATATGCAAATAGCTTTTTTCACACTGACGGGCATGAATACAAAGATTAAGGCAAGATTACACAGCATGCAGGCTACATTTAGGTCAGTTCTGCTGATAATAATAAAATGCAATATTTACCCGATTTACACCCACATGACAGCACTTTTAATGAGCAATGACAGTCCAGGATTTTAACTACTAAAATGTGAATCAACAGAAGATCATTATATTGACTTGCCATTGTGGAGCGTGTTCCCAGTGGAGGCCATGTTCAAATATCACGTTGAGCCCTGCATGAACCCAAACTGCACCGCGGGCCACAAAGGACCACGCACCACCTATTGAGTAGCCCTGACCTAGACCATCCCTGATAGATGTCTATTTAACCTGCTCTTAAATATCTCCAGAGATGGAGATTCCACAATCTCCCTAGGCAATTTATTCCAGGCTATGTCTAGATTACAGAGTTTTTCCGGAAACCTTGCTGCATCCGGGGAATGTGTCTGCTCTTCCAACATTTTTTGTGGAAAAGCAGACAGACTCTTTCGGCCCTATCTTCCTCGTTTCACCAGGAAGGGCGGCTCTCCCGAAAGGAGGTTTTTCTGAAATTTGGCCCAGTGTTTAACCACCCTGACAGGAAATTTTTCTTAATGTCCAACCTAAACTTCCCTTTCTGTAGGTTAAGCCCATTGCTTCTTGTCCTAATCTTCTTGAGATCTTATAAGCAAGTGAAAAGCATCTTAAGCAGGGCCTTTGTGAGTGTTCTTCAAAGGAAAGTGCAAGAAACCCTCTAATAGGCAGCTCTAGGATAAGAAATTCCCTAGGGACAGGTTAATGCCAGCAGTTAGAGAATGGCTTATATCCTGAGGGCTGCACTCTTCTGAAGCTCCTGTTTTAATGAGTGCCAGGAGCTGATTGCACATTGTTTTTAAATATCTCCTTTCACTTTTGAATTTGCCACCTTTTAATTTCATTCATCATCCCTCTCTCTCATTAGAAAGATTAATAGAGAGCTGGTTCCTGTTCTCAGTGAATACTTGTAGACTGATTTTTGTGCCGTTGCACATTTGCACTATGTCAATTTTATATCAAGGAAACACTCATTTTCAAATAGAGGGAATAGGGAACTGCAAAGTGCTTAATTTTGTCATCTTCTATCTAAACAGTGGAAAGGAATCAATAAGCCAACTTTATATGAACAGGTTTAGACCTGCTGGAGAATATTTACAGTCAGTGTTTGTACACAAGCTTTTCAAATGTGTCACTGTATTAGGGAAGTATGCTTTTGTTACTTTACTGCAGATTACTATTGCTCCTGCATATAAAGCATTAATGATGCGCCTACACTGTGTTCTGCTCTAGAAATATCTAAGTGAATAAACTGTTCAGTAATTGCGGACAATGATTAGGCTTAAACCAGTTCCGATTCTTAAGTCATCTGGTCCATTTATGAATTAAATGCATAAAATATCTGCATTACTTTCAGATGATCCAAGTGTGAGTTACATAGCATTTTTTATTGGTGGAGGAAAGTTGCAGGTGTTAATTACAGAATCCCCATTAATTCTTCCACATCCTTTAGGATATATTTTGAGAATCTCTCTTGTTTAGACTGGTCCACACACTCAAGTACTTGCTTCAGCTATGGTGGATGAAACGCCTTTAGAGTTAAAAACAACAAATGGTCTGGTAGCACTTTATAGACTAATGAAACATGTAGATGGTATCATGAACTTTCACGGGCACAGCTCACTTTTTCACATGTGGGCTGTGCCCACAAAAGCTTCCCCTGAAGCTTCAGAGTTAATGAACTTTCTTAAAGCCAGTCAAAAGGGTGCATGCAGATCATGTTTCCTTCCACAAAATGGGAAAGGGTGGAACATTTCGCCTCGCTGAAGGGGGTAAGACCCAATTCCAGTAGTCCTATATACTAAATTACTTCCTATAGCTCACTCCAAAACAAAATCCTGTCTATAAATAGTCAAATAAGACAAGACAAATGCAGGATACTAAGAACTGAAAACTACAATGGGGGATCCAACTATTAAGTTCCTTTTTTTAGTACTTGAGTTTATAATACTAGCAACAGGTGGGTGGCTAAATGGAGGTTAATCTGATATGGAAACTGCATAAGGGTATTATACTGACTAGGATTCCATCTCAGATTCTAGAGACTGGGTACCCAAACTGGGGGGAGTGAAAAAATTCCAGGGGGGGCACAAGGCAACCCAGCCACATGCACCCCCGTCAATCCCACCTCAAGTTTTGCTGCTATTTTTTGGGAGGGGGGGCATGAGGGTTTCTCAAAAAAACAGAAAGGGGGCGTGATGCTGAAAAGTTCGGGAACCATTGTTCTAGAGTGACATCAGCATAGCCTGAGACATACCAACATGACAAGAAAAAGGAAAGAGTATTTAAAAAAATCCATGTTTAAGGAATTTTTATTAAAGCAAGAATTTTATAATCCAAATTACGTTTCTTCGCTCAGCTATCAATTCTCACTGTTAACTAAAACAGTGGTGATATTCTGAGCTTTTCCACAGTAAAGAATTACAAAATTAAAGAAAGGAATGCTTTAAATTTCTGTACTGTGCTGAAAATTCTTTTCCCCCGGGTTTATAAAACATTAATTTGTATTTTTTATTTTGCTATTTTTTTTGTTTTAAATCAATAGGTAAATCTAGGACCAGCATTAGTTTTGCTAGCCCTGGCATTTGCTCTGTACATAAGCTTCAAAGTTTCCTTTCCTTTTTTTATTTATTTTATATTTTGCAATGTTTTTTCTCAATATTTAATAATTTTTCCATGTTTAGCTTTTTTTCCTTCGGTGAAGCGAAGTTCTAGTTTGAAGTCCCGGATATTTCTGTAAACAAGAATAATATCAGCTTTTAATGTGAACACAATTAGTAACTTATAGTAATATTTTGTACTTTCATAGTATCTTCTATACAATGATCTAAAAGACCTTCATACACATTACAACCTCACAATGTATAGATGTAGAAACAGGTACAGAGAAGTTGCGCCTTTTTTAAAGGTCCTTGCTAGGCAGAGTTAAGATTAGAATTCCTATCTTTGTACAGAGTTTAGCACAATTGGGCCATGGTCCATAGGGTTATTGAAATTCAAATAAATATAGTTTGAATGCAAGTCCTCCCTACTCATGCCAGACTATATTGTCTCATTCTGGGACAACTATTACTAGGCACTAAATTACAGCAATGGAGAACCCCTAATAGCTATTTCCAATAGCATATAGTAATTCACGAAGGAGCTTAAAAAACAGTATTACAGTATGGGCAAAAAACTGAGAGACAAGAATCAGCACAAATGTTGATAAATAGTATTGTGATAGTAGTAGTGAAGGATCTTTCCAAGAAATGCTAATTCTTAATTATAGTAATTTGCTGGATATCAAATCTGATTCTCCTTTAACAGCAGAAGAGAGACATTTGGTACCCGGTAAAGCTCTAAGACTATCTAAATTAAGGAAGAGCAAATTTACTGGAGAGCACTCACAAATTATCCTTTTGCTTCAGGTGTTTTATGTTGAGTGGGGGTCAAAATTAGAACTTCAAGAATATTTTCTTTTCAAGTAGCATGCACACATTTTCTCCGTTCATCTAGGCACAAACTAATAAAGGCAATAATTGGCTGCTTAGATAGGCTATACTGAAATCTAGCATACAACTGTTGTATTTGCACCCAAAAAATAACAGATCATGATGAAACTGGATGTTTTGCAATCTGTCTCTGCTTCCCCCAACCCATTTTAGGGACCTATATCACAATTCAGACTTTCATTTTTAAAAAGCATGTCCCTAAGACATTTTTAGTGAAGGCAGTTATAAGATGTTAACTTATATAGGGGTACTTTATTTTGGCCAAAGTGTAAATTTTTTGGTCAAGGTGCAGTCAGGGTCTAACACCACAAAGTAATAAAAAGTCAATAACAATGGTATGTAAATAAAAATATTTCAGGGTCCATTCAAAAGTGTCTGGATTTGGCCAATAGTACACCTATTCACTACCCCAATATCAGTTAATGTGGTTTTACTAGACAAAACACTGGACCACCTGCATTGTAATTATCAGTTGGCATGACTGGCACTAGGACCCAAGAGGCAGAGATTGCCTGTAGAGTCAGTGGAGCCCAGACTGGGAGCTCCTTCAGCTGGGAGTGCTGCACTTGCAGGAATGGAGGGTGGGGTGGAAGGGAAATGGTGGGTAATCCTCCCCCCCCATGCCTTGCCTTTGTTTTTGGGTGGGGGTGAGGGGGTGACAATCTCCCCGCCCTCAAAATGGTGTCCCATGCTCCTGCAGAATTTCCCCAAGAGTAAACTATTCCCAATTTTAAAAAAATGTTGGCTACTATGCATAAAGAGGCAGACACTCACCCTATGCAGTTTCTGATGTTCTTTGAAATGGTTGTTCCTGTGGGTGCTCCATTTAGGTGTTTTAGCACCCTGTGCCTATACTCTGATATTGTTACTAGTACTGCTTTGGCTGCTGACATGCATATTGTGGTGCCACTCTCACACATGTCATTAACTGTCCCTCTGTTTCTTCTCTACCATAGAGAAATATTAAGACCCCAAAGCAGAAGGGAGGTGAGAGGGTCATGGAACACCCACAAGGACAACCATCTCTAAGAACATCAGTTACTGCATAGGGCGAGTAACCAAATGCCTCTTTCAAAGAGTGTCCCTGTGGGCACTCCACTGTAGGCCACTAAGGAGCTGGAAAGTGGTGCTGAGGATGTTTAGTATGGGCTGTAGAAAGCAATGGTAGGCCAAGTTGAGTGCCCCAAGTGGCATATTTATCTAATATGTAATGTTTGGTAAATGTGCATTGAAACCCATAGGGCTGCTTTGCCTATTTCTGCAACTGGGACAACGAGAAATGTAGCTTGATGCATGTGGCAATCCATTTAGAAAGTCTGATTGGAGATACTTGCAGAATGTTCTAAAGGCCAACAGAGAGAAAATCTAGTAGATTGTCTCAACTGTTTTGTTTGTTCTAGGTAAAACGCAAGTGCTCCGCGAACGTCCAAAGTATGAAGAGAGGTTCCTTCCTGAAGGGACGTTCCAAAGAGGATGGAGATAAGAACATAAGAATGGCCATACTGGGTCAGACCATAGGTCCATCTAGCCCAGTAGCCTGTCTGCCAACAGTGGCCAGCACCAGGTGCCCCAGAAAGGGTGGATCGAAGACAATGATCAAGCGATTTGTCTCCTGCCATCCCTCTCCAGCCTCTGACAAACAGAGGCCAGGGACACCATTTCTATCCCCTGGCTAATAGCCTTTTATGGACCTAACCTCCATGAAATTATCTAGCTTCTCTTTAAACTCTGTTATCGTTTTAGCCTTCACAGCCTCCTCTGGCAAGGAGTTCCACAGGTTGACTACATGCTGTGTGAAGAACTTTCTTTTATTAGTTTTAAACCTGCTACCCATCAACTTCATTTGGTGTCCTCTAGTTCTTCTATTATAGAAATTAATAAATAACTTTTCTTTATTTGCCCTCTCCACATCACTCATGATTTTATATACCTCTATCATATTCCCTTCCACCCGCCCCCCCCCGGTCTCCTCTTTTCTAAACTGAAAAGTCCCAGTTGCTTTAACCTCTCTTCCTATGGGACCCGTTCCAAACCCCTAATAATTTTAGTTGCCCTTTTCTGAATCCTTTCCAAGGCCAAAATATCTTTTTTGAGGTGAGGAGACCACATCTGTACACAGTATTCACGATGTGGGCGTACCATAGTTTTATATAGGGGCAGTAAGGTATTCTATCCCTTTCTTAATAATTCCTAGCATCCTATTTGCCTTTTTGACGCCACTGCACACTGTGTGGAAGTTTTTAGAGAACTATCCACGATAACTCCAAGATCTCTTTCCTGATTTGTCATAGCTAAATTAGCCCCCCATCATACTTAGCCCCCATCATACTGTACATATAGTTGGGGTTATTTTTCCCAGTGTGCATTACTTTACACTTATCCACATTAAATTTCATGTGTCATTTTGTTGCCCACTCAACTCAGTTTGGAGAGATCTGTCTGGAGTCCCTCACAGTCTGCTTCTGTCTTGACTATCCTAAACAGTTTGGTATCATCCGCAAACTTTACCACCTCACTGCTTACCCCTTTCTCCAGATCATTTATGAGTAAGTTGAACAGGACTGGTCCCAGGACTGACCCTTGGGGGACACCACTAGTTGCCCCTCTCCATTCTGAAAATTAACCATTTATTCTTACCCTGTGTTTCCTGTCTTTTAACCAGTTCTCAATCCTCTTATCCTATGGCAATGTAATTTACACAAGAGCCTTTGGTGAGGGACCTTGTCAAAAGTTTTCTGAAAATCTAAGTATATTATATCTACTGGATCCCCCTCGTCTGCATGTTTGTTAATCCCTTCAAAGAACTCTAAGGCTACGTCTACACTGGCCCCTTTTTCGGAAGGGGCATGCTAATTTTGAAAGTGGGAATAGGGAAATCCGCGGGGGATTTAAATAAACATGTCCGCTTTTTTCCGGCTTTTCCCCAAGCCGGAAAAAAGCGTCTAGACTGGCCCGATCCTCCGGAATAAAGCCTTATTCCGGAGGATCTCTTATTCCTACTTCGAACTTAGTAAGGTTGAAATCACTCATGGTTATAAGAGATCCTCCAGAATAGGGCTTTATTCCGGAGGATCGGGCCAGTCTAGACGCTTTTTTTTCCGGCTTGGGGAAAAGCCGGAAAAAAGCGGCGGACATGTTTATTTAAATCCGCGGGGGATATTTAAATCCCCCGTGGATTTCCCTATTCCCACTTTCAAAATTAGCATGCCCCTTCCGAAAAAGGGGCCAGTGTACACGTAGCCCAATAGATTAGTAAAACATGATTTCCCTTTACAGAAACCATGTTGACTTTTGCCCAACAAATTATGTTCTTCTACGCGCCTCACAATTTTATTCTTTACTATTGTTTTGACTAATTTGCCTGGTACTGAAGTTAGACTTAACTCACTCAGCCTACTGAGATAGGCTGGGATTAGTCCTGCTTTGGGCAGGGGGCTCGATTTGATTATCTCCTGAGGTCTCTTCCAGCTCTTATGATTCTATGAAGATGAGCAGCATTGGCATCTTCGTGCAGTTTGGGATAAAAGACAGGGAAGTATAGTGGTTGATTAATATGATGGCAACCAGGAAGGCAACTTTCATTGACAAATGTAACAATGAACATATGGCTATAGGTTCAAAAGATTTCCCTGTCAGAGTTATGAGAAAAAGATTCTGGTCTCATCAATGAAGGGGTTGTATCAAAGGAGGAAAGACATTGTTCAGTCCTTTAAAAAAATTGTTTGTAGTTCAGAGTGCAAAGACTGCATGGCCATTCATGAAAGAATGCTCACTAGAAATTGCAGTAGAAATTACTCTGACATAAGCATTCAGAAGTTTCTTCTTTTTAAAAGGAAGTAAATAGTTTAGAACTTTGGGCAGAGGCACCTAATTAAGGAGCATAGTGTTCTGTAGCCTGTACTTGAAAACACTGCCATTTTTGTATGCATGTGCATCTACTGTTTAGTTTTCATCATGATCACTTGCTTAACCTCTTCTGCATAAGTTAAATCTGATGCCCTTCAGTAACCAGGCTTTGAGATGCAGGCACTGGATATTCAGATGGAATATCAGGCCTGAGTCCTGTGAGAGACGATGTGGAATGTCTGGAGGTCATAGAGAAGCAGCTATGGCCAGCTGAGCTAGGTAAGGAAACCATGTATGTTGTGGCCACAAAGGTGCGATAAGAATTATTTGAGCCTTTTAGGAGGATTTTGTTGAGAAATGGAATGGGAGGGAATGCGTACATGAGGGAGTATGTCCACTTAATTAGGACATTGAAATTTTGTCCCAAGCCAGCTCTGGAGCAGTATTTGAGGCATTTTGAGACGTGATATGTCAGAATCATAGAATACTAGGACTGGAAGGGACCTCGAGAGATCATGGAGTCCAGTCCCCTGCCCTCAAGGCAGGACCCAGTACTGTCTAGACCATCCTTGATAGACATTTATCTAACCTACTCTTAAATAGCTCCAGAGATGGAGATTCCACAACCACCTAGGCAACATATTCCAGTGTTTAACCACCCTGACAGTTAGGAACTTTTTCCTAACATCCAACCTAAACACCTCCCTTGCTGCAGTTTAAGCCCATTACTTCTTGTTCTATCCTTACGAATAAATATTTCTAGAAAGCCCCATGCCATGTGAGCTATGAGTGAATCTCCCACTGCTTAGGGGATCTGCAATAGTGTTCTGATACTCTGGTAGGTAGGCTGTAGAAATGTCCACTTGGTTTATGCATGAAACCAAAAGGGTCATGGCCTCTCTGCATAGGTGATATGATCTTGCTCCTCGATGGTTTATATAAAACATACATGCTATGCTGTCCATAAGAATTTATCGATTTGTTGCAGATCAGCAAGAGGAAGTGTTCACACACTTGCCTGACCTCCCAGAGCTTGAGCACTTTGATATGGGATGTTTCCTGGGGGTGGGGTGGGGGGAGAATCATTCCTGGATGACATGGTTGTCAATGTATGCACTCCATCCCTCCAGGGATGCACCTGCAGTGATTATGACTGAAGGGCTACGTCTACATTGGCCCCTTTTCCGGAAGGGGCACGGTAATTTTTGAAATCGCAATAGGGAAATGCGCGGGGGATTTAAATATCCCCCGCGGCATTTAAATAAAAATGTCCGCCGCTTTTTTCCGGCTTTTAGAAAAGCCGGAAAAAAGCGGCGGACATTTTTATTTAAATGCCGCGGGGGATATTTAAATCCCCCGCGCATTTCCCTATTGCGATTTCAAAAACTACCATGCCCCTTCCGGAAAAGGGGCCAATGTAGACGAGCCCAAGGAGCGTTCTTGTAGGGCACTCCTGCACATAGGTTTTGTGGTTATAACCACCACTCTAGGGAGCCTTTTTGGAAGGCTGAGGGATTTCTCTAAATGGTGTCTATGCAGATGAAAGCATATGCATAGCCATCCTTGAAGACAATACATATGTAGCCTAGCCAGCTTCCCTACATAAGCTGTTGCTGATGTATGCTCTGGAAACTGAAGGCATTATCTGGCTGAAACTGTGGGGCTGTTCATGATGGACAGCGAAGTGACTGGTTGGAACTGGTGGTGCAGGAGCCTGGCTTGACCCTGAATGCAGTCCAGAGTTGTTCCTAGGCATTCTAATTGATGAGTTGGGGGGGATAAGATTTTTCCCTTGTTTATTTGAAACCCCAGAGCAGTGAATAAACTGATTGTGCAATTTGTATTAAGTGTTGCTAGCTATATTGATCGGCCCACTATTAGTCATCTAGAAAAAATCATTACTCCTGATCGAGGTGTGTGACTGCCACTGACAGTATCTTTGAAAATACTCTTGGGGATGTTACCAGTACTAGGCCAAAAAGTAGTATGCAACATTGGTAGTGTTGATCTCGTAAATTGAAAACTGAGAAATTTCCTGTGTCAAGGGTGACTTGTGATGGAGGTTGTGTATCTCCTGCTGCAAGAGCATCTTGTGGAAAGGATCTCTGAAGAGGAACAGGGAAAGGGGCAGTGTGGGAGGGAAAGATAGGAAGGGAATAACACAGATTATTTCCAGAATCCATCTGTCCATTGTAATATGGGTCCAGGCTGAATAGAATGGAAGCAGGCTGTGATAATTGTAATCCCATCAAGTAAGAGGTGTCAAACCCGGGACCAATGCTTTATAATGACTGATGTGATGTGGATTAAGGATGTTAAAAGGTGGGTAATACAGAGCCACAGTGGAAGAAGCTCACAGATTGCTGTGGCTCTGCATTTTATATGTAGTAAGAGCTGGATGGCTCTTGCTACATTTACAATGCAGAGCTGCAGCAGTCCTGGCTGGCGCTGGTCCAGGAGCTACTCCCACTGCAACTCTGCAGTTCAAGTTTCTGAAGTATTTATAAAGTATATGAATAATTTATGATAGAACTGTAACTTACACAGGAGCTATCTCCAAGTAGTCTCACATTTATATATAAGGAGGCAACGGATTAGGGACAATGTCTAGTGAAGTCCTGCATCTAAAATAGTTCTAGTAATAGGTAAATTTTATTTTATAATGTAGTTTAGTTGTTTCTCTCCCCCCCGCAAATTATTATTGCCTGAACTCTCTCATGATAGGCTAACAACAACTTGTTAGGAACTTATTTCTAGGAGTACAGCAACTTTAGCCACTGTAGGTCACATTGAAAGATTCCTGACTAAATAAACACACAATAAAATTCCAGCACAATACCTTGATTAGTTGAGAAAAATTGAGATTGTATTCTGTAGGAAAACTTACATATTAAACACTTGGAACCCCAGTGGGGTTGTTAACAGCTTTCTGAGCAGCCTCTTTAGCTTGGTGGGCTTGTAGTACAGCTACAGCTTCATCAACCTAATAGGATAAAATAATTTGTTACCACATGCTTTACTTAATTTCAATAAATAAGATAGTGAAGCTGCTGACAGAATACACATATAAAATCAAAAGGAGGTTTTAGGAGTCTACCTACCTTCGAACGAAGAGACTCAGGAGACTCAAGCATATGAAGGAGTTCAGAGTTGTCAATCTCCAACAACATACCGGTGATTTTACCCGCCAGAGTAGGATGCATCGCTTGAATTAGAGGAAACAGCCGTTCACCTAGGAAAAACCCATCAGAATTCTACAGTTATAGCGATTAATTACAAGCTAATTTAGCCTCTCAATGCCAAACATAGGCAGTAAAATCTGCCAGGTAATCTGAATTTATATCTCAATTCATCAACATTATTAAAAGGAGCATCATATCCTACCCATTCGACTCTTAAAAGTAACTCATGAATGACCATAAAAATCTAGTGTTATCAGTCAAAAAATAAGATTAAAGGAACCTAATGTACATACCTAACATCTGCTTTTGTTCTTGTGGAGGGGCAGAAGCCAACATGGAAGCAGTCAAGGGTTCTTGACCTTGCACATGGACAGCTGGCTAAAATTTAATAAAACATTGTACTTCAAGGTTAAATTCTGGAACATTCAAACATTTTATACTTCCACGACTTATAACATTAAAAAGGCCATACTGGATCAGACCCCCAGTATCCTGTATTCAAACAGTGGCAAATGGCACATGCTTCAGAGGGAATGAACAGACTAGAGAATCATCAACATAATTATGCCTGCATACTTGACAAATTAGAAATAATGATAGTAATTTTCATCCAGAGGCTAGTAAAAGTTGAGTGATATTGCAAGGCACACTACTGTTGACTCAACCCCTTGCTGAGCATAATTAATATATTAAACAAAGCTCAAGCCCACAGTGTTCATCAGATACTTGAGTAGTACAAAACAAGTAGAACAAGGTATGTCCCTCCTTAATAATGCTTGACATTTATTTTAAAGTCCAGGCTTGCAAACTTTATGACAATTTGGTACTTACATTTTGGTGCAGTGGTGGGAAAACTTATGTAGAAGCTCAAGAAAAATCTGAACCACATAAGTAACCTCGAAAATACATCATATAATCACAATGGAAAAAAGTGTAATATGTTTTACATTTGTGAAAATAAAGCCTCAGACTGTGGCTTTAATGGCCTCAGTGGTGAAGGCAAACCGTTTACAATTATGATACAGATTGGGGGGGGAGGGGGAAGTGTTTCCTCAGCAAAAACATCACTTGGCTACCAAAAGCAAGACTACATACCTGCTGCATAGCAACCTGTGGTTGTGTGTTAAGATGTTGTTGAGGATTACGAACACCTGCAGCATATTTATACTGTGGAACTGCACGTACAGCAGGAGTGGCTGCAGCAGCAGCTGCAGCAGGACGTGGACCCATTGTCTGTGTTGATGTATTAGCTGGAAAGATTAATATTTATACATCAGCAATTCAACTTTCATTAAGCTTATATTTTGTATAAGTAAATGAATGGGCACAGCATTAGGACTATATTGAATATCTATTTTAGTATTGTATTATATTTGATTATCGCAAGGTTAGTAAATAACGCCAATGGTTAACTTGTGAGTGCAAAACCAAAAGCATGATTTTTTTCCCCCCTCATTTTACTAATTACTTTTTCTTTAAACACTATAAAAAGCATCATGGAGGGAACATCTACCTTGGATTAAACATGCTGACTTGAATTTCATCTTACCCCAATCATAGTTAAAAGTAACTTTTTTCCAATTAAAACACTTTGCCAGTTAAATTATTCTGAAAATCACTATGTTACTAATATACAGCAGACTAAAACATTTGAATGTTCTTCTCCTTATGTAACAGTTGTCCCCGGAACTTGGCCTGTACTACATGCTGCTGATCTCCAGACAGTAATGACATGTGATACTGGCACTCCTTGTTCTCAACTGCAACAATGTGTTAAGAGCTAAAAATAAATGCTCTTTCAATGGTATTCTTCCACATAATCCACTGCTGTAGTTACCACGGGAACGGTACAGATTCAAATGGGAGGAAGAGGCCACTTATGTAATATCAATGAGATGTGGGCCACAGCAACTCCTAGTCAATGTTAATCTAATGCCATGATGTCCAATCAATTATGAAGCAGTAGCCACTATAGTGGCTAATACTATAGCAAACTAGCCACACTTAACTGGCCAAATAGCCACATGTTGATAGCATGCTGGACACCACAGATCTAGTGAGTTAAATTGATGTTGCATTGAGCAACATTTTCTCATAGTTGTAAGCAAAAGAATTGAAAAACATAGGCTACGTGAGAAGGATTAAACAGATAGCCCTCCCTTAGAGACATTGGGTCATCCTCAAATGAGCAGCCTTGGCAGGGCATATTCCTAAGCAGGAAGCGGGTCCAAGGGAGAGGAGTAGGTGATAGAGAAATCACAGTAAAGGAGTAGGAGGACAATAATCTGACATGGGAGGGAAATACTGGGAAGAATGAAATCACCACAAACTGAAGAGAAAAGTCTGGTGTGGGGCGGGGGGGAGGGGGGAGGGAGCGGGGG